TACACGTGTAAAAAAAGTGATTAAATATTTACTATTACACATTTTTTTCTAGCCCCTTCCTTATTGTAGGCACCGTATTTTTACTTAGTTTGGTAAAAGAAAAGATTAATTCGAGCTCATTATAATTTTTTTTATAAAATGGTTCCCAAAACCTTAAATGTATTTCAATTAATCATATATTTAAACGCACCAAAAAATATCCTAAATAATAACCATTGTTTTTTTTAAAAAAAAAAATGGATAAATTTCGTGTAAATCCTAAATTAACAACAAGTAAATTGATATTAACACCAAAACAAAAAGAAGAATTGTATCATTTATTGGAATTAAAAGATCTTACCAGTAAAGATTATTTTGAAACAAAATTTTGGGATGACTCTGATGAACAGCAAGAGGAAGCAAATGAATTTCTAACTTACCATGGTTTAATTCAACCACTTCTTGAATCTTCCACTAGACGTTGGAAGACAAGATGGTCCGATAAGAATGATAGGTACGGGAAAAAAATATTGTATCAATGTGCTTGTGGAACTGATAAACAAAATGCTTTTAATAAAGTTGCTCCCGATAAACGAAGAAAACTTAGACAAATCTATGAATTTGTTGGTTGTTTGGCTTTTGTTAAGCTTGAGTTTGATGAAACTAACACCAAATACAGACGTCTACATGGTTATCTAGACCATTCCGAAGCATGTCACCGTGGAATACCAAAAATTGAAGGTCCAACTTTAACAATCAATCCTTTGGTCAAAGCAATGACTGAATTAATGGTCAAGGCAAACTTTTCCATTAAAGAAATCATCTCAATCAATCAACATTTGATGAAAAATCATCTAAGTAGTAGAATTGACTTGAGAGGTGAACATTTTCTAATAACACTATATGATATTTTGGATTCTAGACGCTCATTGTTGATGTCCACGAAAAGCGAAGCAACTTCTTGGAAGCTAGATATAAATAAATCCGTAAGCTACAATTTAAATCAAATTTATGATGAGAATTGTTCTAAAGATTCTGAAATATATGAATCAACTATTTACACCACCGCCATTAACAATGTTATTATTATTGGATTCTGATGAAATTTCGTTAAATCTCCAAGCTTGAAAATAAGAAGGTTTAGACAAATCAAGCTTGTAACGATAATTGGTTTCATCGTCATCGACTTCATTTTCAATGTCTTCATCTTCACAAACGTAATACTCATTGTCACTATCAAAGTCATCGTCACCATCATTGTTAATAATTCCAATCCGCGTATCATTTAAAAAAGACTTTTTATTTTTTTGCTTAGCCAACCTAATCATAGATTCTCTGTGTGAAGATAATTGTATATAAGGTATTTTCCTATGTTCTAAATTAGGAAAATATTCAATTTTATTGCCATTTATAATGTCTGGCCTGTCTCTTACCCAATTTACACTGTGTATGGCAGCTCTAATGTGTGAACACGCACCACCCCATATCAAATATCTCATACAATGACAATTAATCTCTGGCAACAACTGTACAACGTAATAATCCATATCAGGATTGCCAGGTACATGCTCTAGATTTTTTTGACCAGTTTTGATGGTGACAAATAAATATTTATCAAGACTAAATTCAATAAAATCAACACAATTGTTATGAATAAATCTGGATGCTTCTATGTCTTCATATTTATTAATATCTTGGAATGCTATTGTGTTGATATTTCTCGCTAAAAGCTCCCTTAGTTGACCCTCTTCCAACATATTCCCGTCAATATATTCCTGCAATGGTTCCTTTTCTTTATCCAATGTTTCTTTTATATAGTTCCATAATTGATTTTGCATCTCGCATAATGGAGAAATGTATTTGGCAAGTATTGCACAAAGTGTATCCATACGTAGCACATTTCCTCTTTGTTGAAATCTTAGAAATCTAGTTGGTTTAAATAGTAATTTAAAACCTTCCAAATAAGCATCAGTTGTTGGTATTTTTAATTCATGAATAATACTTTCTCTAGAAGAATAAGCCCAAAATCGCATTTTATTTATATCCATCCAATCATTTCTAATATATTGT